CATGGTCCATGTTACCCGTTCCGCCAGACCATTCGATGCCGGATGGTGAGGAGCCAGTCTTACTTTCTGGACGCCATTTTAGAAATACAATCACCCGAAAAGCTCAGTTGAAGAGTGGAGTACCATTGTGCCTGCACACGGTCCCCGGGATCCTAAACTGCATAAAGAGCCCGTGCATTCTATTGATACAGTGAATGGTCAGAGTACACACAAGTTGTTCAGAGGGAGCGGCGAACAGTGATGGACTGTTGCCATCGGTATCTGATGGCAATGTGGTCTGTTTGGGTTCCCTGTTGGTCCTTTGGTGGACACCAAGTGGCCAAACGACTTCTACCGTTTCGGAAGCTGGTACCGCAATGAACATATGCCTTAGGCGCCATCCATGCATCTTGTGTCTCATGTCCCAGCAGGGGCAATCCTGACGATCAGTGGTTGGATGTCATAGTAGTACAAGTCTTTAAGGGACAGGTCGCCGAGCATGTTCTAAGCCCCGATCTCTGTCCATTGATCAACCTTGTATGAGCAACTCTGTGTGTATCAAATCGAGGCCCTCCGGTATAGCTCTATAGGCAAAAAGGTGCAAAAACTGTCTTACCACGATGAGGTCCACTCTGTTTGTCATCCTCAGTGCATGACTCAACCAACCAAGTTGGTTTACGTGTCTCAGTATTCTACCTGACGAATGCCTCTTGACAAAAACCTGAAACGAGTACGTATAATCTGGCGATAGAGTTTACCAGTTTGCCTCAGCTGGTAAACAATAGCACTGATGGAACTGAAACTCAGGCAACGGATTTCCTTAGTCTACAAATTATCGTTTCAGTGGTGACAACATGCTTCTTATTGGTAGATATATGAAATTCAAGCAACAGTATTCATAACTGGTGTATTGTTGTCAATAATGACGATGATGATGTTCGCTGCTGTCGCTTTCTGTTTGTTTTAGTGGTGTGCATTGTCTGAATCGTGAATTCTTGAGGATGTAAACGCCTGTCTTGAGGAGATAAGTTCACCTGTGCAGTCAGACATAGAATTAGATATCCTCTCTCAGTGAGATAGATGTATCTGACCCGCCCGAGTTGCATTAATGTATAGTTTGATCATCTCTGCTTATTATGCTGACAACTGGGCGAGCTAGCTGACGGTCTTCTTCAAACTCCCTGGTAAACTATTTTTCATAAAGGAAGCTACTCACAATGTTGCTGAAAACTCTTCGACAGCCCACGACCCGTTTCACCCTTCTTGGGGCTCATCATGTAGGCCTAGTCTCCGAGTTTCCGTCAACCTTATGTTCTACTTGAACACAAATTGGACTGTCTTCGAGAAATACACTCATTTGCAAATCAATTTGTTTTTTTTTCCTGGTAAACTTCCTATTTTTGTGAGCAGAATTAAAGTTTGAGAAACGTTGGTGGGATTGATACGGTCTGTATAAGTGCAAAGATATAACTGAGTTGTGATTTCAACTTCCAGCTGGGGAGAGACTGGCAACGTCCAGCACCTGTTTTTTTGTATGTCGTTTTTTTTTGTCCGGATGCATGAAAAAAATCCGTCAAATGGTGTTTCTCAAAGCGGCTATTCAGGGAATCTGTGGAGCCTTTTGATCTTGTTCACAACAGATACAACATGACGTTGCATGTTGAGAAAGTGCGAAACACAATATTATGGCCATCTGCCTGAATAGAATCGATAACCGTTCTTGAGTTTCACTCGATATGCACAGTGCACACCGATTCATGTTGTAGTGTCCCAATATCGTGACTGCAGTAATTTCGACCGTGGTTACCACTGAGGAATGGGCAAAATAACAGCTCATTTGCGTGAGCTGAGACCATGTCTACACAGACGTCAGAATAAGCGACGAAAGCCTTTTAAAAAAATTCCTCTAACCGACTTCTTTGCTGTAATGCCTTGGTAGGGCTCCAAGAAAGTCATCAGTTCTCCACGCCTACGCAAAACGAAGGTTGTTGATGATCACGAAAAGCCGGATAGGTTGCTTTCGAGGATCCGGCATGTAGCATGGTGAATGCTACAGGGTCCTCTGTGTTTGAGACAGTCCCCTCGGCTGAAATGACGAATAGAACGTATCCTACAAATGGATGATAGAAGGTACGATCCCCACAGTACAAATGACTAGGCTTACTAGTTTTGGAAAGGAACATATATGGGAAGGAAACCATCCACAAGGTTAGCGAAATACACTTATCTGCATTCCAGTTTGGTTTTGGTGGGAGCCTGGCCTGGAACCCAACTGACTTTCTGTTTATGATGGAATGTGCTGAAGCAGGCCGCCTCATGTGTCAGTTGGCATGATATTCGAGATATCGCGACACATTGTATGGACGTAATGCACGACTCATAAGATTGCTGAATTTTCAGTATATTGGTATGCTAATTTCGTACAATTTGGGTTCAGGTAGAATATATGTTTGACGGGAACTTGGAGATGTACGTTCAGAATAGTGGTAGGGTATGCCGCAGAACTCTCATGGATTTGAAAATCGTATATAGTCCCTCGCTATTTAGCATGCTCCCAAGCTACACTCATGAAAAGTGACCCGCATAGCCACCATTCGGATAAAGTGCACATTCTTCTTATTCGTTAATATTTTCCAAATGGAGAAAATAATGACTTTGCAAGGACGGAATCAGGTTTGACTATTTATAAGATGTTGATTAGGCATTGAAAGAGAAACGCTGAGCCTGCCCCTGTGCATTCGGTTCGTTCGTTGATGTGCGTATGCATACGGCAGGTTGTGGAATTCCTTTCGCTCCAAGCTTGCATCATGTTCATGACTGTTATCGATCCACCGACTTCGGCATGCTTTCAGGAAGTTGTATGGCTTGTAGACCCAACGCACGTGACCCAAATGCCCACACACAAATCTATCATCTGTCATTTGGAACTCGGCTTGTTTGTCTCGTGTGGGAGAATCTTATACACAACATCGGATTCCGGCACTTCTGGGTTCAGGGAAAAAAGGTGAATTCTGATGTGGAGTATCCGACATCATATCATCTCCGCAAGTGACACTGCGTTGGACTAAATTGAGTGTCGTCCGAGAGGTAAACAGGGACCCATCTAGTTAAGTTCAATACCATGAGCATTTCTGATTTACAGGGCCTTGTTGCATGGTCCATGTTACCCGTTCCGCCAGACCATTCGATGCCGGATGGTGAGGAGCCAGTCTTACTTTCTGGACGCCATTTTAGAAATACAATCACCCGAAAAGCTCAGCTGAAGAGTGGAGTACCATTGTGCCTGCACACGGTCCCCGGGATCCTAAACTGCATAAAGAGCCCGTTCATTCTATCGATCATTGCATCTGTGCGTTGAATATACTTCACTCCATGTGGGATGTGCGTCAAGCAGCATTGAATGTATCATGCCCCATTTGTTCGACCCAAGTAGCCCACAAGGCCAGAGTCTGCCTAACCGCCTCTAAAGGTGAATCGACCTTTGATACCTGGCAGTCTTGCATGAGCTGACTGGGAGCCCCAGAATTACCTCTTGGTTGGTACCTTCGTTCTCTTTTTGCCGAGATGTGAACCATGCAGTTTTGTAATTAACCGGTTCTGTACTCTCGTTGGAGGAGAAGGACAGATAACTGCTCATTGGAAGCAGTAGCTGATATAATTGATGCGTAAATGCATCTTTTTTGTGTGAACGTTTCACTGGGGAGATTGGTAGGGTAGCTATGCATTGAAGCCAATGGCTTGGATGCACGAGGGCCATTGAGAACGCGACTGTGCCAGGTATGGCAGTACCTCTAACCATTGATGTGTCCCGTCGATGCGTCCATATCCAAGGGAACGGCAATGACCAGCGAAGCTGGGTTTCACAGTTCGTTGCCAGGTCATTTTACGATCTACCCTGGTTCTCTGTGCGAAAAGATCCCTTCGAGGAAGTCAGTCGACTAGCATACGGAATAGATGGCTAATCCAGCGCAACCTATGGAGCGTGATTAGTTCATCTATCGTGGGCGAGTTATTTCTACCGAAAACCATTCGACGTACTTCAGCATTGCTGATCCGGTGCTCCCACTGGACCTAGGTAATGCTCCGAAGACATCGATGGTCAAACACACGCAGCGGCCAGGTTTCTAACCCGCAGTATTGTAAACTTGACCCTTGACGAATGAGCTACAGGTGATTTAGATTCACAAAAGCTGATTTGACTTTCCCGGTTCGGGTGGAAATATCACCTTTTGTGAAACCACTGGGACGGATACAGTTGCTCAGGTAGACAAATTTGTCTACTACCTCAAGCGGCTCATCATCAAGCATAAGGCTAGGGTTCCAGCCAACCCAATCTTGAAGTAGCACTTTACACTTCGCAGATGTGAAGCCCATACCAACTGTGATTATTTAGTATTATCTGCATTACAGCGGCGCCAGATCCCAGAAGGGCTATGCCGTCAACGTACCCAACATCTGCGAGCGAAAGCCCCGGGAGCACTTCGAACCCACAGGCAGTAGAGGCTGGTAGTGAGTTTTCCATGATCGTATCAGTGACGAAGTTGAAGAGGAAAGGTGAAAGAGGACAGCCCTGTCGGACATCACTTGATGTGGTGAACCCAGGAGAGAGTTTCCCGTAGACCTTTACACGGCCGCGGGAGTTGGCGTACAGCGCCTTAATGAGGGTCAAAAATTTATGGGGGACACCTTTGTTCCACTGACACTACCATAGTGCTTGGCGGTCCACTGAATCAAAGGCAACTTTCAGATCAATAAAAACAATCATTGTTGGTTGCTGGAAGCAGTGTCGCTGTTCCAGAACCTGATCGATACAAACTTTTGCAGGACGGAACCCAGTTTGATTTTCACGGATCTGCCTCTCTCTGTGTTCAGCCAACCTTCGAAGGATAAAACCAGAGAGCACCTTCGATGCCACAGATACCAGGCTGACACCACAGTGGTTTTTACACATCCCCCCGCGTACCCTTTTTAAAGAGAGGAATAACTGTCGACATGCCCCATTTTGCAGCCACTTTCTGTTCATTCGGAAGAGCACCGACAAGCTTTGTTAGATGAGTCACCAAGGATTCTGCGCCTTCTTTGGAGTGGACTGGATACAGACCGTCCGGTCTTGATGCCTTCTCACGTTTCAGTAGGGCTATTTCGTGCTTTATTTCTTCGTCCGATGGGTGGTCA